TCGTCATACTTGGTAAGAAGAAGAGGTCTTTGCTTATTCCCTGATGATGATTGGTACATAAAAAATGAGACTATAATAAGGAGTTTTTACCTAGATCAATCAAGAAGTGTTTGGAATTCAATACCCTATTTGGTCTAAGTATTATGAGGCAGATCGTTATCGAAAAGTATTTTAGAACCAATCGTGATTTTACTAATAGTGCATTTAGGAACATAGTGACAAAGTGACAAATTTTAAAATAAATAATAACCAACTTTATCACTGATACCGGATGCACTCCATCACTTTAAATATACTTTGAAAGTCGGTATGAAATAAATTCACACATACTTATACCCTCAAGCGATATTACACAGTAGTCCATATCAGTAAATCTGTATCTGTCCAGTATCAGTGTATGTTACAATATTAACTTGTATCGGTCATCTTACGTAATGTGAAAAAATGCTGAACTGTCTCGCTGACGTAGAAGTTGCAAGAACGACCGGTAAGTGTGAGTTATTGGGATCAATTTAGGAATAAGATGATAATTATGACAACGGTTTCTACGTAGAACAGAACTAATTCAGCTATGTAATGGTACAAGTAAATACTTACTACTCCTCCTTTACTTACGAACGGTATCGAGCACTTAAGTCTAAGGAGAGATTTTGCCTCCTTGTGCGTTTTCTATCGCTTGTAGAGGTATAATAATGGGTTGTGTTCTGCGGAATTGTTTGATATGATGCCCACGGCCATTTTCTAACATCGCACCGCTCGCCATCGACAGGGAGTTCACGCTCACACATTGGAGCCCAAATGGTCCCGTACAGTTCGGTTTCAGAGGAATTTTGTCCCACGTACCTTCCGATTCTGAAATGAACTCCCTGCTGTGGTTTTCCCAATGGGCTACAACATGGGGTTCTTCAAGAGGGGAGTGAATAAGTTTCTTAAGGGTCGACAAGACGTATGTAATGCCCCAAGTGTTGCAAGCCACGGTAACCGCTTATCATCAGGTGGGCCGCACAAACATACATACAGATCAAACTAAGTACCTCCTTTTTTGTTTTCGAAATCGCTTAAAAATAATGTTAATTCTATAAAATATACTACCTACCTCCTTAGATCAAATATGTCATATGTCACACCCATACACAGATAAAATAAAATAAAACTCAAAGTGAACGCATTTGCAGTGTTGAGCAATAACTGATATTTTGTACATGAGAGTGCATTGACATTAACATCGGTGCAAGGCCACGCGCCTAATACAATGCACTATTACAGACCTATTCAACTATTATATTATTGGTAAACTAGCTTATCGCCTGCGGCTTCACTTGTGAGTATTTTTTCTATGGTATAAGCCGGCAAACAAGCTGATGGATCACCATATGCATCAGGTGATCCTGATGGTAAGCAATCGTTACCGCCCATGGACTCCCGCCACACCACAAGGGTTACAAGTGCGTTGCCTAGTACCTTTAAGGGAGGGGGAGGATGGGGCTTCTCGTTCGTGGACGATGTCACATTACTCTTGGATTTTGTTAAAATACCGAAAAACTAACCTATTTTCCGACCTGAAAAGAAAGTCGTGAGAGACTTTTGCTATCGGTCCTCAAACAAACAAATTAAGGATGGAATATTTCTTCTCTTATAGTCGTATATATCTGCAGGAAACTTTTATGTATTCAATAACATTATTTTGTCCTTTTGTCTGAGTGGATGATAATGAGAGGTCGATAACTAGACCAGGCATAAAAGTTATTTGATTTTTCAAAGTGAGTATTAAAATAAAACCAATCTTTCAAATTCGTCTAGTAGAAGATTTTTTTTCAGACATCTATTAGGTACTTAGACGAAAGGATTCAAAGCTCTTACTTTTATGGGATTAGAGAAAAATTTATCACACGGCCCCTAATATCTCCTTATTTTTTCGAGTAAACCACTGAAAAAATAAGGAGATATTAGGAGCCGTGTGATAAATTTGGCCTGACCTTCTTGCACCGTTCTGTTTCTTTCTTTTAAGTACTACTTATCTTACTTTTTAAATTTAGTTACGGTGCAATTAAACTGTTAAACTACCTACATTTTATAGTAAAGTGACAATGAAAAAGAAAAAGTATGACGGCCCTGAAAGCTTTTCTATACATAGAGTTATATTTCAGATCAAAAGTCACAATATTGAGCACGTTTTCAATATATTAGTGACAAAGTATTTTAAGTTCAGTTACCAAACAGGATATCGAAGCCGTGACCGTCAGACACGACTGTAAGATCCTGTATCTACATCATCGAATTCGCATCAACATATCAAATTATTAAAGAAGGGTCAAATTAAAAGTACCTTTAACCGACGAGCATGCATGAAAAGACTGATGACTGTAGACGAAGCGAAAGAGGTATGTAAGAATCGTAATATTTGGTGTTCCATAGTCTCTGCCTACCCCCATGGGAGACAGGCAGACAGCCATGAGATAATGTATGCATGCAACCGACAGTCATTAAAAATGTTTCCCGTACTAATATGATAAGATTTGTAAGAGGGTAGAGACTACCCTTCTTACTTCTTCAATACTTACTATCAAGCGCGGATCCAGCATTCAGAAAAGGTTGTGGTCACAGCTACTAGAAAATCGGCTAAGTACGAGTCGGAGCATGAACATGGTCATCATCAATCATGCAAGTCGTTTATGAACTTTAGAATTAGATTATTTCCTTTTTTCTGAGCATCAGGACTTGGGCCTTAGGAAAGGAAACAAACTTAGGAGGAAGTCGGACCCGATTTCTTCAAATCAAATAGTCAGTTTCGATCCAAACCTATTTAAATCAATAAGTTATATTTTTTTCTTTTAGACACTAGACTGGATTAATAGGTATCTTGACGTTGTATCAGGAGTAATGTAAGTGAGATCAGCAAGTGAGATCCAACAGGCGAGATTTTGATTATTTTTTACATTTTCTAAGAATATTAAATTAAATTAAATGCTAGAAACATTTCACATGTAACAACTTTATTTAGGTACTTACTTAAATTACAAATTCAAGCTTACGTTTCTTTTTTGCGAAAACGTTTAAATAATGTCATCAATATCCAGGTTCACATCTTTGTGAATATTTAGGAGAGCTAGCCCGGATAATCTTTCCTGTGCCATTGAGGCACGCAACCAAGAATTTATTCTGCGAAGAGTAGAAAAAGATCTCTCTGCGGTAGCCACGCTGACCGGAAGAGTCGCCAGTATTTGTAAGAAAATTTTTATGTTAGGGTACAAATCTTGGTCGCATGCTTCAATGAGATGAGCTACCGAGTCTGGTATGGCCGAATTGTTCTTATATTTTCTTTTCCATTTGGTCATCCAGAGTCGGTATTCATTTATGACAGTTGACTCACTATCGTTAATGAATAGGCGGTACATCTGGACCACTTTTTTCACTTTCACTATCTCGATATCGATATCCCAGTCCCTGATACTCACATTAGGGTTTGGTAGAAAAAATGAAATAGGTCGAGTACCTCCGGACTACTCCGGAGACAATCTCTCCTCCAAATTATATAATTTTGAGGGTGTTTCAAATCCGCTAGATGGCATTACGTAGACATTAGGTCCAGCTTTATTGTGATTGGATATTTTTGACAGAGCATGTCAAAGTGACATTATTGAATACAATCATGGTGAAGTTGGACCTCACGGCTACGTTACGCCATCTAGCGGTTTCAAAATTTTTAAGCACCCTCATTAAGTAGCGCCACAGACGCCTCGGTACGCGGCTCGAAGTTTTGGCGGCACGGCAATAAGTTGTCAAAAATGTGACATAAGTCATAACATGTCAGCATATCGTCTATGGCTCTTTGCTGCGTTCCAAATCACGCACGTTTCATGATTCATTGTGTTTTTAAATTTTATTAAGGCTTATCGTTCATTATCATCAGCCTATCGATCTCAATAGGTGACGTCACAAGTCTATTAAGGTTGTGGGCATGCCCATCGTGCCCACAACGGTGGATCCGCCCTTGCAGTTACTATTTACTTCTTAATTTTTTTCGTGGGTATCATAAGAGCCGATTAAGGAACACATTTGACATAGACGGGGCAGCAACTCATCAACAAATCTTGATCTGACCAGGTAACAGAAAAAAATAAAAATATACTTACCATAAGTACAGTCAGAATGCACGGTTGACGTGGTGACTGCGCAACCGGCTGCCGAGCAACGAGTAGCGGGTTCGATTCCCGCACACGCTCTTTGTGTGATCCACAAATTATTGTTTCGGGTCTGAGTGTCATGTGGATGTGAACTTGTATGTTTGTAAATGCACCCACGACACAGGAGAAAATCCTAGAGAGGTGCAACGTTTTTTTTTTTAAGAAAAAAACCTTTGCCTGTCCTATAAAACCTTTCTATTTGCACCTTCAGACGTACAAATATCGATGGTAAAACTTAAGATGCATAAATAAAGTTAGGTTTAGTTAGACAGTACATTTTCTACGCTATCATAAGAGGAAAGTAATTTATTACGCTGCCTGGCAAATCAGGCGCCATGAGAACTAGTATGCAAATTATTTCAGAGGGTATGGTTCTTATTGCAACTATAAATATTATACCTACAAGTTGTAATCGATAATGACATAACGGGCAAAGGTAATATATTGATAGGAAGAAAACTATGTGCCGACACGGCTCAAAACATTTATTAGATAATAAATACAAAAGTGCATTATTGTGTCTTTATCCCGTAGGAGAAGAGAAGAGAGAATAAAAACAATTTATTATGCTTTAAAATACTCAAAAGTCCAAATACAGAAATATAAAAAAAAAACAATTTCAAATATATTTTTTTCGAACAAAAAAACAAAAGCTCAAACTGCACACTCAAAAACCGATGCTCCAATTTAAATTTCGAATCACACACACATACATGTATTTGGCCATACTACTCCCGCCTTTACCACCTACGAGCTAGAAGGGGTGCCCCTATATATAGTCACAGTTACTTACACGCATCGCATAATACCTACGTAAATACGTCGCGAGTGCAGTGGCTGTATACAATTCTATTTTTTTTAATAAATATTTTTTGTGAGTGCAACATGTTACGTCAGTGCGTTACGTTGGCAGTATTGGGGTGTGTTTTCGCGGTTCCCGCCCCGCAACACCAATACCAACCTCAGCATCAACAAGTGAGTTCTTTTTTTAATTTTTTAAGGGCTGTGATTTTTATTTTTGCCTTCCTAAGGTTTGACAATTTTAATAAGGGATAATAAAAGAAAATATGAACTCTTTTATAATTCAATAATTTATTTGCCAAATAGGGGATGAATATATTGAAACAATAACTATGATTAGGGTATTATTCAAAGTGTATGAATAAAAAATCTTTGAAATGCTTATATGATTATTTGCTTCTAAAAGCTTTTGAAATTCTGTTCATTCCTAGGCCCCAATTAACTTCATAGACCTTTAACCTCGCGTGTGTGCCTAGAGACGCCAATTTAGACTGAAACAATAGAATATCACATCTTATGATTCCAGCTCACGATTTTCCCTCGACCTACGACAATATTAATAATAATAACTTAAATTAGCGCCGGTTTCACTATCTCCATATAAGTACCTGATAAACTTATATGACAGATAGTCCATACTTACGTTCTTAATTCAAATTTATCTGGTAGATAACGGCTGTCCAGATTTTGTGAAACAGTGTTATTAGGTATACAGCCTATTTATTGAAATATCATTCCATCATAGAGATACTGAAAAAACAACCGAATTAAATCATTTCATTTCTAAATGAAAAAGATAATTTGAACATAAATCTCTATTCCATTGAATAAAATAATAAAAATTAAAAATTAGTATGATTAAGATAATTATGAATCATTTGTTACCTACTTACTATTTTACTCTTCAGAAAATACAAGCAATATTTCATTCTCTATATTAATTGTAGCACTTAGGATTAACCTTAATGTCAGTTGTGTCTCACCGCTGAGAACTGTAGGCCATGTAACCTATTGTTAAGATTGCGTTATCCCGCGCCTCAATTGCATCAAGATTACAAAAACTATGTTATTTAGGCTACATACATACTTCATTTTTAATATTCAATCTTTTATTTTTGGTTGTTAAGTTTCATTTTACAATGTCTTCTCTTCTCTCTTCTTTCAATCAATCTTTTAAATTGTTTTCTGTTGAAATGGTAACCCAATTAAATAAAAAGTTTGCCTGCGAGATTAAGCTAAATTTTTTAGCTGTAAATAATATAATTGTCATTAACAGATTTTGAAGGATTAATTTCAAAGAGATTTTTATCTGCGTCGTTGGCCGAGTGGTCGCCGTTGGTCCCGGGTCGGGCAAAGTATTGCTGGGTTTATAAAAATTCTCAGTAATAGCACGGAGTCTGGAATTGTGCCCGGTATATGGCAATAGGCTCACCCCCTATTACATGGGACTCATAACTTAAATAGTGAAACGTGTGTGTTACATTATATAGTGGTATAATGTGCACCTCTGCCTACCCCTTCTGGGATAAAAGGCGTGATGTTATGTTATGTTAGATTCTTATCTTGCAACCCTATGACACTATGACTGGCCAAATTTCAGCGTTAAATAGGAAAAAATATTCTTATGATTCTGTTATGTAAAATTTAAAACCATTGTGTTATAAAACGTTCTAATTTTAATTAATTATCCTTTAATAGATTTGTTATGCAAAACTTAAATTCTGCACCATACCACGAATTTAACTTAAGTTGCACTACGAATAGACGAACGTAGCAGTGATAAAATCATAATAGCTACAATAAGCACATGGTCAATGGAAAGGTTATCGAAAATCTATTTGCACGCTTTACGCTGGGTAAGATAATATTGTAGATTAACCACGGTTTAGAAGGGATCCCATGCCATTGTTGTAAGTTATAAGTTTTAAAAATATTTTGTTTTATCCAAAATAAAATTAAACGAAATTGTGATAGAGTTGTTGATATCTAATACTCAAGTAGTGAGTATGTGTGCATTCAAATCAAATTAAGCTTAATTTATTTAATTAAAAAAAAAACACTAATTTCATTATTTTATATCTCGCCTTCGAGCTGGAAAGCAGTTACCCTATTGTTATTATAGGGCCTAATTACTTTTTTTTACTCATTGTTATCTCACATTTTTTGTGTTTTTGTGAATAGTTAAAAGCCAAAACTAGTCATTTCAAAACAGATCTGTACATATGTTGAAATCATCAATTATTCTTCACTCATGAACTTAAGAAAGTGTTCACTATTCAGTCTTTTAAGCAAACTGGGTCAAGGACTCTCTCTATTCATTGATTGTGATCTTCTTCTTTTGTTTATATTGTCATTTTACTTTCGTTTGTTAGGTCACCTTTTAATATTCATCATTCTGTGTAAAATAAAGACTCGCTGTAGTGAAAAATTACCTTCTTACGACGCTTTATTACAATCAATTATTAAAAAAGATACGTTTAGCAACAAAGTCATGTAACAATTATAAATTCCTAGCGTGATTATGTGACGTGCGATAAACTTCATTATGACATGCAACGGAACGATAGTTAACAATTTGAAAACAACAATAAAAAAGTAGAAATCAATCTTAATGCAAAAGTAGTACGTCCGCTATTTCGATGAAGTCGCAACACATGTATTGTGACCGTATTGCTTCACCGAGCAAAATAATGAGTGCAAACAGACCGGAAAAATTAACATCGGTTTTTGCACAACTTGAATGTATGGACACACGTGTTTTTGGCAACCCACGACAAATTGAGCGAAACGTTAGGCTGCGATTATTCACACAAAAAAATCGTGACACGATACGCGCTTCCTCGTCGGAAATTCATTATACAGTTCATTTGTTTTATTTTAATTTCCTAGCACTTGAAGCGTCGATATAAAGTAGAAAATTGATTAGTGACAGGTTCCTTTCTGTAGCTTTTTATTGAGTAAATACTACTTTCAACGACCGAACAGTCTAAATCATCTGGGACATCAATAAAAGAAGAGTGGAATATTTTAATCTTGTGTTACACGCCAATGATCCCTATTGACAGTAATTATATAACAATTATATCATGATAGTTTTGATTCAACCCTTTATACTTAATCCAAATCCCTTAGTAAAACCCACACAATGTCTTTCATTAATTATTATTAATTCTCGTAAAATTTTCCGCACAAAAATTACACGTCAATAAACCGCGTCCTAACAGGGCGCACTCCATTAGGTACACTTTTATTACTTGTTATACTTTTTAAAGTTTCGTAACTTTAGTGGATCACGAGATAATTGGATTAGCGTTACATAATCACTTGATCGCACTGATAATCACGAATGGTTGCTTGGTATTTAATAGTCGCTTATTTTTCTAATGGATGCCGATGTAACAGCATCAAATTGGGCCTCGTCTGGATTTAATTGGATGTGCTTTGTTGGTTGCTGTTATGACTGTTATGTGACTTTAAGTGTATCGTGTATCATAATGGGGTAGACGACTAATTTTTATTTTAATGTCCGTCTGGTAGATTATTTAAAAATATTAGACACGTATTTTTTATTTTCTCACGTAAACGAATAGTTTTGAAGATATATTGATTTGAAATGTCGCGTGACGTCACTTCTCAGTACATTTTATACTAAGAAATGACGTTTTACCCCCCACTCCTAAACTTTAACTCGTTTTATCTAAGTATTGTTTTATTATACGACAAAATAAAAAAATACGTGTCTAATATTTTTTTATTACCTAACTTACGGACTAATTATATTTTTAATTTTTATACCCTGTCAACATCCCCATTAGAGAATAGAGGTTTGAAATATGTAACTGTAATATCTTTGTAATATCTTGATCTGCAGCCAATAATAAACCTTATGACGTGAACAATTGGTTTCTGAGTTCGATGAAATATGACTTTTTAGGATCTCTGTTAGGAACTGCTAAAAGTTATTCACGTTTATTGTCATTCTATCATCAAGCTAGTTCAGTTACGAGTACCATACATACATAACCACGCCTGTCTCACGTGGTGTGGGCAGCGACTATAGAACGCAAATTGCTACGATTCTTACATACCTCTTTCGCTCCATCAACAGTCATGACTCTTGCGTGCTCGTCGGTTAAGGGTACTTTTAATTCGACCCTTCTTTAATATATAGACAATCCGGTTGATTTATGTCCGTCTAAAGCGCCCACCCATGATTCACTACCATACACAGCGTTGGGGTTTGGTTACGAGGACCATTCATTTAAATATTTTAACAATAACATTACCTAATTCATTATTAATAATCATCATCCTCAGATCCGATCCAGATCCTAGTTTACATTTCCAATATGTACCATACAACTAAACCCCGACCTTTCCAATTTGTCAGCAGGCTGGAGGATTTGACCCACATCTCCTGAGACAGTACCTCGCCGACCAACACGGTGCGGCGCCGGCGGCCGCGCAAACACAAGTCATCCCCAGACCCCAACACGTACAGCAAGCAGTGCCCAGACCCGTAAGATAATCTATTTATTTCACATATATTTCTGCCTAACAGTCAATATAATAATTAGGTAACAACAACTGGTTACAGACCGACTGCAAGAGAAAATAAGCTATAGCATTTTCAAATTCCACGTATAAAACAAGATTTTATTATAATCTTAAAAAGATGAAGTCATAGTTTGCAGTTTCTTCTCGAAACGCAACAAAAATTCTATGTTGCAATTTAAACTTTGTTGTCAATGAATTTGTCCACCCTTCATTTCCAGGCTCCCCAACAACTATACACGGTCCAAAGCGAGGCCCAATACCAGCCACAGCCCCAATACCAGCCACAGCCACAACAGCAGTACAGGCAGCCGCAGCACCAGCCCCAATACCAGCCCCAGAGGCAGCAGGAACAGCGCGAGCCAGAGGAATATGATGTAAGTTGATTTTGAAGAGTAGGAAGTTAAAGTTCAAATTACAGTGAAGCTGGTTAATCGCGTAATTGGTATCATGAAGAAAATTGCAAAGAGGCAAAAGGACTGGTGTATGACAGACACATTATCTTTGTTGTGGATTTAAAAGATATTGAGTGCCCTAGTGTCCATTATGCAGCCATCACACCACCACGGATGGGGCTCAATAGGGCTGATGCCGATACGGAGTCGTGGATAACCTAACGCGTTACCGGGGCTCCAGCTTGATGTGTAGGAGTAGGAACGGGGTGATTTTTAGTCAGTAAGAGTCGGACACTCCTTCCCGCCTCACCCAGGCGGGAAAAGTAATTCGATGATTTTCCCCTCTTAAAAAAAAGTATCCATTATTCATCTTTAACTTTCAAGTTTAGTACCCATCAAAAAATTATCTATAATTATGGTGGCAAAAAAATTGTGAATACCTTCTGTACATTCTGTAGTATCGGAAATATTGTAATCTAGATTTATAAACCATCTTAATTTAAAGTACCTTTCTAAGAGAGAGCTCTATATTAATAAAACTATTGCACTCACGTAAAATTACTTCAACAATTAACTGAATTTACTTCAAAATATTGTGTAAACCATCTCATAACACAACGAAAATGACAATTAGTAATTTTTAAATGGAAATAATGTCTGCATTGCAATTTTTAGGAAATAAAATGCAACGTAGACTATCTAGGTTAGACAAGAAAATAGAAAAAGTCGTTAGCTAGCTGCGTACTTTATTTTGTTTTAAATTTAACTGTAGAGGCATGACAGTGTAATAATAAATTAAAAGGAGGATAGTTCACCACTGTACCTACCATGCCATCGCTTGCTGATTTCTAAGTCCTGGATCGTAAGGTTAAAAAAAAAGCAAATTATTTTTAGGTAAGGGACAGTAAGCCAGTGTTTCTCACATGACTTTAGCCAAATCATAGGCAAGTCAACGTATATGAGTAATACACAAATAGAAACATACTTTTGAAACATCTTAATATGATCAGTTAGTTAAGCTAGGCTCAGTACCTTTCTCTACCTTCAAGTACAATCATAAAGTTATATAAAACGACCTAACACAATTCCGAACGTAAAATGAAGCCGGAATAAATCCAACCTAGTTCATGTCGTTTCCTTATAACGATACAATGTCCAACGTATAGCAACACGGATGGATCAAATTAACAAGTGCAGGAATACGGTCGGCTGCAACTTTCACTTAGAACCAGTATACGGCTTGATAAAGCGCTTTACGGTTCAGCCACGGGAGTCGGAGGCAGCGACAGCGAAAGGCGTACCTTAGTACAATCGACTGGTTACAATTATGACCTACGATAAACTTTTTTTGATGTTTATTGAAGGTAGAGTTGAATTCTTGCTTCATTTTTCGGTACCCTTACCTCTAACTACGAATACACATTTGTCAGACAAGCCAAAGGTGCTTTTTGGTTGACTTAAACCTTTTAAATTGTGATTTCAAACCTGCTTCCCAAACGTGGATATTATGGGAAACCATCTTAGTATGTAGACGAGGTTCATGAAGTGTTGTCATGGACAGATGATATCGACAAACGGGAGGCATGATTGTTTTTATAATAACTATCGTACTAATCGGCAGCGCGATATCGCCGCGACCGCGCACGCTGCTCGTTAGGAAGAACCCCTCTGTGGTTCGAAACTAGTGCAGCCTTTCTCAGTATATTCACGGGAGTAGCCCGCGATTTTTAGTTAACCCATTTGGATCTGCCGTCCCCATACGGGGACAGGTCTTCTTTTACCCGCTGGTTATTCATTTTTTTAGCTATCTTCAATTTTCATTAGTTTTTTTTATGAGGAGTCACTGTACTTTCCTAAAATTATTAGAAGTTTTGACAAATTGCTACAAAAAGGGGGTCATATTGACAATTTTATCAAGAGGAAGTGAAATGGGAATTATTATCGAAAGCAGAGCCGTTTTATAGTATGTTACTATGAAGAATTATAAAACTTTTTTGTGATTATTGCTTGCTTATAGTGTCATTTATAACAATATTGAAGAATATCCTTATACTTTCAATTCCGCTTAGGGGAAAGTTAGAAAATATTATGATGTCCCCGTTTGGGGACAATGGGCACATCTGTAGTTTATTTTTAAAACATTTATACCTGATTTGTATTTTGTTTTCCAATTTATAAAGGTCACCTATAGGCTAAACTTAGTTATAGCTAATACTTGGTGACTACATACGCTAATTCACGAAAAGCATCACCAATCCTATATCAATTCTTATCTTTACGCGTTCATATTTAAAATCTGATGGGCATCAAGATCGACGATGCAGAACTCCATCTACAGTACCAGGCGTCGCATCCGATATCAGAATTCAGCGGTAGGGGGCATTTCCTCCAGCTGTATTCTGGTGTCGCCACAGCGAGGTCCACCCAGAGGATAGAGTAGCATTATGCCCTGTATACATTGAGCACCACCGTCTCCTCCGGGAAGTGATCGATGACGATAATCTTCAACGTCCAGCTTTGGTTCTGGTGGTGCGGAGCGAGGGGGGAACTGGAAAACCATCGCTTTCTGCGAAGCAGTCATAGTAGCAAGAACAGATCGCCGCCCAGAACCAGACCTGAACCTATAAGGCGCGTGGCGTTACGCGCGCGCTTCAAAGTGCTATCAGACCGCCTTAGATCGAGATGGCTCAGTAGGACAGATGCCCGACCACTATGAATAACCTAGTGGGTCACCGGGGCTTTGGCTTGAAGCAGAATTAGGAACGTGTTGGTTTTAGCCAGTAAGAGCCCCCAGATGAAAAACGCAATGCATGATTTTTACCCGCAAAAAAAAATACAGGCGCGTCACATCAAATTGATTTAGACATTTTCCGCAGAGATTTAGTTAATATCTGTTCCGACACGCAATTCTTCATAAAAAAACTGTGATTTCAATGTAAATAATGCATTAGAACCTTATGTGTCGAAAACAGTTACTACTATGAAAAGTACTACACATGAGCCCATTGTCCCCAATCAAGGACGGCATTTTTTTTAATACTTCTAAATATATTTTTTGAATTTTTTTTGCTGATATTAGTTTGTGGGCGTCATTTCATTGAGTTATTAAAGTTTTTTTTATTAAATTATGTGTAGTTTGCATTTGGTCCCAAATGGGTTAAGGGAGTCATGATTATTTGTCGATTGTACCTAGGTACATTTCTATTAACTTATCGCTGTCGCGAATTTCCGTGGCCAGGCTGTAAGTTACAGTGCTCGTTCGCTGCGTGAGATCAATTTACGATAGCCAATAGTGTCTAACTTTCTTTAGTTGTAGTGCAATTAATAGTTTCAATCTTTTGATATGCTCTAAAACAAATTAACAATTTGTTAAAAGTAACTGAGGGTGTATTTAAAGTAAAGTACCTATAGGCTATTTTTAAATCGTAAACACAAAAGCAAACACAACGTGAGTGTTCTAAGTAATATGTATTCAGATCAGTTACTTTTACTGCACACAAAGTCAACATAAATTAGGATTTAGATACACAGCTATGTAGGTAAGTACAAGTACTAGATGAAATATAGATTCAGCCACTACGGTTGATGCAATCGCTACCAAAACGATCTCTTAGCTTAGTCATTCCGTGTTCCGGGTCCAGTTTTAATTTAAACCAAGTAGAAGACATAATAATTTATTCATGGACATTTTAAAATTCTATGTACCTACTTAGGTAACTGTAGATACCTAAGATGAACTGATATAACATTGAACTATTGGCATTTTTGCAATATGTAATACTAAGTCAAGTACCTACCTATCTAGATTTACATAGAAAAATATTTTATTTCTGCCACAAATCTCTTTCAATGGAAATTAGAAAATTATCTAAGAACACTTAGATATTGTATTAACTCGTCGAGTACCGGTTTTGTAGACACAATTATAGAACAATAGGTTGCGGTCACCGGTGACCGCTTGGTGTTTGACAGTTTAAACTACATTACTAATCATCCACTTTACTTCCAGCCTCATCCTTCTTACCAGTTCGGTTTCGACGTGAACGACGACCAGTACACCAACTACCAGAACCGTAAGGAACAGAGAGACGGTGACGTCATCAAGGGCTCCTACTCCGTGGTCGACAGCGATGGCTTCGTCAGGACAGTCACCTACACTGCTGACCCTAAGGAGGGTTTCAAGGCTGAGGTAAGGGCATAATATGATTAAAGACCTGTACCTATTTATAATGAGTAAAACATTATCTACACGTGACACATCATGTTGAAGATAGGTACAGGTGATTTTGTTTAGAATGGTAAAATAAATAAAAAATGATATGAGTAGAAAGTAACCTAAAGATAAACTGTATGAACTGACTGCTAAAAGTTAACCTAATAATCCTTTGGTTCATGTACTGGACTGGTCCAAGAGAAGCGCAACTTTGCTCATTCATCTCAGAAGTGAAGTACCTTATAATCTTTAAAAAGACAAATTTTTAATCAGACAAATCTTATAAAAGATATCTAAGTAGATATCTGTTTCACAAATCAAACGATTAGACCAATATGAAACCACCCAAACTAGGCCAGGGGTACACTTAGTCGGCATTATTTAATCGCATTAAAGATCTGGCCGACCCACTTACGAGGAATCAAGCCTGATTGTTGAGCTATTGTTTCGTATGTAAGCAGGTACTTACATAAACTAAATTGTTGACTAGAAGTTGTTAAGTTTCACTGACTTACCTACTTAGTGCGATGAGTCAATGCTTAAAAATGTGCTCATCTTGATCTTGGTCAACACATTGTCTTATCGTAGTCAATCTTCCTGTCTATTTTCTTTTAGGGATATTTGACATAAATGGTCGTTCAGACTTCGATACAAGGAGTGAATTTTTAAGGTACCTGGAGCAGTCTGGTCAACTGATTGAGATTTATCTCAATAGTAACGTACAACACCGATTCTCCCTCCCTAATGACTAATCAACATCACCTATCTACATTAAACATCACAATTTTAGATATTTCTAATATCAATATTAACATATTTATTGATTCCATCATTTTGTCACAGGTATCAAGACAGCCCACAGACATCGTAGTGAAGATCCCTACTCCCAAACCCCAGCTTCTCCAGCCCCAAGTACAGCACGCTGGCCACGCCCAGCCCCGGCCACAGCCACCACAACCACAACACGCTGCCCCACAACAGTACTACCGTTACGAACAATAAGCTGTTAAACACTTGTCTACATATTTATTGTGTTTAGGGAAATTAGAATCAAATTATAAGAAAATAAAGATATTTTTTAATTGACAACATCATGATGAAGATACATGGTGATTTTGTTTAGAGCGGTAAAATTGTAAAGTAATTTACGGTAATTGTAAAAATTTTACCGTGAACAACTGTGAGTTTTAAGTTAAAATATTAATAAAAAGACACCTTAAAGGTCAGATCTCAAGCCATATTTGACCGATAGAAAGAAAATGGTGTTTTTGCCAAATTGGTTTGAAATTATCGAGTCATATTTTAGTAATTCAAACCAATATCGCATAGATAATGTAGACATTTTTATTCTTAGTTAGTTTGTATAATATAGCTGTATGTGGATACTCTATGCCTCGTAAATTAAGTTATGGATGACAATGAGTAGGTATTTGAGTTATAGCTAAAATTTAAATAAGGAAGTTTTAGCGCAGAATCGCCTCATTAATTGTAGGTACTTGAGCCAATTTTTACTAAAAGATTATGTGCCTACTACACCTTTTTAGTGCTTCCTTTACAATAAAAATGAAATGTTAAAAATTATGATTGTGTTAAAGAATGCCAGAATATGTAGCTTATTAAATGTTAATAAAGTTACTATTATTTAACAATATTTACTTATTTTCCTTATATTTAGTTATTATACATTTGTTGGAAAAATACCTCCATGTTAAAGCTACAAAGAAGCTAGCTCCGTTAGTTAGTTAGTTAGCCCAAATTTAGGATCAAACTCAATTATTAATTTGATTCTTTTATACTACCTAATAGTTTTTTTATCTGCTAGATTTTCGGTGAAAATTGTAATAAAACAGGTTTTATAATTTCCATTAAAATTTATTAAATCTTTGATACATTCGTTGTTTGTAACTAACGTAACATGAGCAATTCACGAAATCATAATAAAATAAATTATGTATTCACATTTATAAGTTCTCTCATAAAGTCTATTCGTTAATTTATAAATACCTCCGTCAAGCAACGGTACATAGAATAAATAAAAATATTTAATAAATTAACAAAAAAAATAAAAATAATATTCAGTCTGTTTAATAAGTTAACTTTAATGAAAAATGGCCGACAAATTATAATCGTACGTTAGTAATTTTTCGGCAATTTTACAGTTGAATAAATGCACCCTTTATAATAATATCAATAGTAATGTCACCTCTATAATAAAATACTTTTTTAACCAATATAAAATCTAATAAATGCGTCAATAGTCTTAAGAATTTTAGATTAATTTACCTACATTACATAATTTATGTAAAAGTTTTAGTCTCTCCAATTTTAAACAGTAAATTGTGCTAAATCATCCACCAATGTGTACCTAAGAAAAATAGATAGGTAACCCAAAGAAGATCGAAATACAATCTGACAGAGCCAGCTGACTTCTTAATCCTTGAACTGAGATTCTCCAAATAATATTCGAAAATAAAATCCAAAACAAGATTTCAAACGCAGCAAGAACACAACAATCATAAAAAACTCTCGAAAAATAAATAATAAACTTCAACTACAAAAAAATGGCGGGAAACAGCAGCCATCTTGCAAATTGTCTATTGGACGGATCATTTTTTTTCTAATAGTTTCTCATAGCGAATGGTCTAAGTCTGTGTCTATGGCACCGGGTCTGGTCTGCAGACACACCCAGACTCTACGAGCACGTAGTCTTGACCTGTTAGCGTCACTGGTCCGAGTGGAAGTACCAAGAATAGGTAGGGCACGTACGTTTGTGAGCATGTCCCCCTTACTAGGGAGCATTCGCTTGACCTGTAAAAATAAAGACAAATAAATATTGCTGAATTTGATTTACGTACGTATTTTATTGAATAACAGATTCTTCTTTGGTCAAAACGAGTGATGTCATAAAATTAATGTAAGTAGCTATTTGGTCTTAGGTTTAAATAACTCTGATTTAGTTACTTAATGCACTAAAAGTTAATTAAGGGTCCACGTCCATAGTCCCAAATTTCAATTTTTAACTGGTACCTATTTTAGTACCTAAGCTCTCGTCATCATTTCAAATCAAAAGTAGTTTAGTAGCTAAGCCAACATAAACAATATCCAAAAGTTACTTACTCGCAAACCTCGAAGACGACTTGCTGCAGTAAGTCAGGGAATTTCTGTACTATAGTGACAGGCTGACCCGAAGTTAGAGACACCCCGTACATAGGAGCGGTAGTGTTGTACCTCGTCCGACATAATCTAGTGCCGCCACACGAGTTTGTGGGCGCCGGCGATAGTCCGGGCAGGTTTGAGGAGCGACCTAGAATTGAAACATCGTTTTCTTTAGGTCAACGGATACCTTTCAAGGTTTCTGTAGTGTCATTTAATTACTAACAGCTTCTGCTCAAGGTTTAGCTCGCGTTAACTCGTCGAGTACCGGTTTTGTAGACACAATTATAGAACAATAGGTTGCGGTCACCGGTGACCGCTTGGTGTTTGACAGTTTAAGGGGATCAAAATTGGCCTATATTCCAAACATAAAGTTCTACGTCTTTTTATCACAACTTCTGACTGCACGGTTGGTGCGGTGGCTGTGCAACCAGCTGCCGTGCAACGTGTCGCGAGTTCCATTCCCGCACGGAACAACACTTTGTGTGATCCACAAATTGTTGTTTCGGGTCTGGTTGTCATGTGTATGTTTCAAAGTACTTTTCAAAAATGGAAACGTCAACCTTGACTGCACGATTGGCGCGGTGGCTGTGCAACTGGCTGACGTGCAACGTGTCGCGAGTTCCATTCCCGCACGGAACAACACTTTGTGTGATCCACAAATTGTTGTTTCGGGTCTGGTTGTCATGTGTATGTTTGTAACTTGTATGTTTGTAAACGCACCCACGACACAGGAGAAAATCCCAGTGTGGGGCAACGTTTAAAAAAAAACTAATTGTGGACGAAACATCCATCCAAAGGTTCGCATTTAGGTATGATCTGAGGTGCAGATAATACACTCTACATATCTCTTGAAATGTATTTTTTTGGTTTAAATCTTCAAATCCCAAAATCGCCAACAGGCCGACACACACTTGTTGTAACTCCTATGTTGCGAGTATCCGTGGGCGGTGCTAATTGCTTATCATCAGGATATCTGTCTGCACATTTGCCACACTGTACCTATCGTGGACAAATTACATCCTTACAAACTTTCAACAACTATTACTATAAAAATATAAATGATTCATACCGGTTCTATTGCTGCCTTGCGTAGGCGCGCCCTCTGAGTAACCGGCGTGTGCGTCAAGCAGCGCTCGCCTCATGATGGCAGGGTCCACCGTCCGCAATCCTCGACCTTGCCTCGAAGACTGCCACGGACCTGACTTGAGAGCTCTGTTTACTAAGTGCCTGGAATATTCAGTTTATATGATTAGAATTTTTATTAAAACGAGAAAACCAACAGTAATAAAAAACTAAGTAAGTAACTTGACATGAGGTTTACATAGGTATTTCCTATGGGAATATTCTTAAAAGAATTATTTTCATCCTATTTAACGATAATTAGTGGAAGAGCGTCACCTACGTACAAGATAAAACAACAAAAGCCATCTATTTCTCGCCGCGGAAATGGCGTTGTAAAAGTTTACGACGTTGACCACTAGATGTCGTTAAATAAAATAATAATGAAGCCTACGTTCCGTTACGCTCTGTAATCAACAGGTGAAGAGACAAGACGTAATAATCATCATTTCGCAATTACAGTAAGTGCGGAAAATATTAGATACAACATTAAATCGGTGGTAGAACAAAGATGGGACTTAGTGAGAAAGTTCCCACGTTCAGAGAATGAAATGTAGGACTGTACTGTGCATTTGAATTAACGGAACTTTTGCGCACTTCACACTGATTACCTACATGTCTTAAACAGTTTTTTTTTGCGTGATTCGCACTCTATTGTTTCCGGGATACGGGTGTTAATAGCTTGGCGTTTAAAACTTTATTAAGGTTCTCTCATTTAAGAAGGGAAATAGGTATAAAATGGATAAAGAATTTTAGGCTGTTCCAGAATCAACTTACAGATTTATAAAAGTAACCTTTACATTCAACATTAATATACACCCAGGTATGCTAATTAAACTAGTAGGACGAGCTGACAATGATTTGATAAATCCACAAATCCTCAATAATCATTTACCCAGCACGGAATTAAAATCTAACACCCTGTTTACTTGACAGTGATGTTGGCGACCACTTGATCAACAACATAGTTTTATCAGGTCATAAAAATTTCAAATTTATTCATTGGATTTTCGACTTTATGTCAATACCATAAACTTGAAGATATAATAGAAGACAGAAAAGGTTAGATTGATCTGCTGGCCACCGTACCTACCAGATTAATAACATCATCAGTAACAAATAAATCAAATATTATTGCACATATTATTTATAAGTATTTTAAAATAATCATAGATTTTATATCGATTATTCATCATTAGCAGGGATACCTATGACGCGGCATACCGTTATAAAACGTTTAATTACCTATTGCCTGCCTAGATATCTACCAAATAGTTTTTGAAAACCAGTTAACCAAACAAATCATTAGGCAATAAAACCATTTTAATGATTACATTAATTTTAATCAAGTATAGACTACAATATTCACATAAAATATTTTTCTCGTAACAATATTTATAAGGTATAATGTTTTTAATAGGCAACAATTACTTGATCGTTTAATTTCACTTCATCTTGTTCCATATCAGTCTGACTGTCATCACCTGGTTCAACCTTAATAAAATTTGTTGGTAACACAATTGACTCTCGCAATTTTAGCTGTCTTGGAGCTATAGGATCTTTATTTGTCAAAACCGTTACAAAATCTTCTTCCGTTATCAAATCGTCGAACACATTTTTCGACATGAAACTAGCTAAGCCACATTTCGGATTCTCGCCAAAGACCATCTCACTAGGCGTTCTGCACAATACCTCGTTGAATGTTGTGTTCAATTCGTACTGCACAAACTTCACTCCTTCCTGCCACTTCCTGCTTTCATATTTGTCCAACCATTCATTTAACTTCTTCAAAATATGCTCATTAGATTTACCTTCAAAATCGGCTTTTGTAAATGTTGAATCTGATGCCACTACCTTCATTTGGGGACACAAACTTGAGATTCGTCTACAAACAGGTTTAGCTAAAGCTAATCCATTTAGTGATTGCAAAATATTTGGGGCTCCAAACATCAAAAATATAGTTAACAATTCATCAACTGTTTCGTCAACATTCAATGTTTTCATGGCCTTCAAGTGAATGAATTTGGAAATAAAGTTTCTATATACCATCAGATATTTATATTCTTCGCATAATTCATTTGTGACGCTGAGTATATCAACTTGACCGCGCGAGTAAAGTTCCGGGCTCTTATAAGTTGAATATTTTAATGCTCGTAGTAAATCTTCAGGTTCTATTTCCAGATTAGAGGCTGAGCACTCGGAAATCGGGTTAGACGAAGTGTCGTTACAACTTTCTGTTACATTCTCACTAATTTCACTCGTATTTAAGCTTGGTTTTGATCTTTTTTTGGGTAATTTATTTTTACAGGTCGCACACATTGACAAATATACTAAAACACTCTCAGCAGTGACATTTCGATATTTACGTTTTAACTCCACCATCATACGACTACGTCCACCGTGATTCAACCTGAGGTGATACTCGGCTATAATGTCATATACTTCATCTATTGGTACAAACATTTGTCGCTTTTTATCGCCCAAAGCACGAGCTGAAAACAACTTTTCTCCGTCTGGGGTTTCAATAATTTCAAACTTTTTTAACCGACGGTAATCCGCTGGGGTTTTCCTCACAGCTGTTTTTGCGTATTTTATTTTTTCAACAAGCCAACAGTATTTCTCACGTGACAGCAATGCTGAATTCGATGCCTTTTTTGTTAATACTTCGCATAATCTCCGGTAAAACTCGTCTCTATCGACATCTTCATTGCTCGGATTTTGTATATCAGGCTGCGGACCGCCATCAGTCATTTCGAATACAATAATTCACAAGATCGTCCGGTGATATGAGAAAAAACTAATAACGAACACACCAAAACACTTCACACAAGTAAAATTATCCAATATTGACTGGCTCACAGGAGAGAAGCGAGAACACGAATATAGCAATATGGCGGGCGCGTTAATGCTCGAAGTTGTCCGAGCGCCGAAACCGGACAAAGCCGAACACAAGTAAATATGTTCCGTCTTTCTCTAGCACGCACAAACTCGATAACGACTAGTGGAAACGCATATTACCCATCCCACAGTCAATTAATTGAACCGGTTGCTTGTCTACTTTGTCTAAATTATACGTAGGTAGATAAGTAATTATGTAGCTTAATTACGTGGAAATTTACTATCCTATTTTATCATAATAATATGAGTACTTATTGATAGCCAATGATAGTCCATAGGCTGCTAGAAGCAAGAGATGAAAAAAAAAACGATAGGGGCCGATTTTTGAACCATCATTCTTAGTAGTAGATTAAAATTGACATTTAAAGTTTTTAATATGGAAGAATAAAATATTCAAAACTAACCCAAGTGAGTGTTTTGTCCTTTTCAGTTACCTACTAACAACTAAAACTAAAACTACCACAAAGCAATAATCTGCCGTCACCACTCGACACTGGCAGAATAGTCGACAACACTGTATTGGAGACTCCGTTGCCAAATTAATACTTAAATATTATTATATTCAATTTATTCCTCAGTTAAAATTTATCTAGCGTTGGAAAAATCGCCCCTAAATGTGTTAAACTTAGGTAACAGAGTTATTTATGGTATTGTTATTATTCGGATCTAATTTTCGAAAAACAAAAGCTATCTGTTGAATTTACACGCACGATTGTATAGGTACCTAAAATATACCTACATTTTATTAGCACATTGTCACTAAAACATCGACCGTGTTATCAACTTTGGACCACATAGTTTATCCCGTTAGAAATAATAATAAATGCGTTAGGTACCGAAGCAAGCATTTCTATCGGCGGTTTACGGATTTTACGGTTATGGTATGGTCTCGAATAGACTTGATTATATTATTATTTCTTATCGATTTGGTTCCGTATTTAGCATTAGGTGACAGACGACGCACTATTCATACAAAATACTATAAAGATTTTAATAAAACAAAAATTTGTTGTCAAACTAAGTTCATATCGCTTGTACCTAGTAAAATACCTAATACCTATTATAGGTATGTCTATATGTTAAAAACTTATACGGTTGTTAAAAATTTTGCTTCCCTACGTACCTTTTACATACTTTACACGTTTCTTTACTCATTACTTGATTAACTAGGTAATTAGATAATGAGAGATTCCTGGTAGCTACCTATCCATTTGGTTTTCAAATTAAATTGGTAAGTATTGATGTATTCCCATTTCTCGGTAACTACTGGCTGGTCTTGACTTGACATACAAATTTTATGTTATTAAGTATATTTTTTTCTGTTTTTAAAGGGAACAAAAATGTTACATTGCAAGCGCCTAATAAATTCACATTCACTACAAACAAACAAACGGTTCACATTAATTTGTCACTTGATTGGATTATGCCTAGAGCTTGAAAATTGAAAACCGTAAAAATACCGGTAAAATTACCTAGGGTAGGGTGTCCCATCAGGGCCTGGACAATCTGTTCCTTGTAATGCATCACCCCACGCATACTTCAATCTTGGACCACAGTCTGCAACCACGCTGCACACTACGAGAGCCTGGAATGTGCACATGAAAAGAAAAGTTAAAAAAATATCAGGAAAATATTACGGACGTTGTGCACGCACATCATTTATTATGCATATTTTCTAGTCATAAGTTACTTAGAGGAAAATATATTATTCATCAATTTAATGTCTATCTGATTAAAATCACAATTTTAACCGCACAAACATGTCGATTCTTTTACATCGTTCAGAAGTTTTAATGCTTCACAAAGTATTTCAACATTGTCTGTAATATTGTCCAGACAACCTGCTGTACCTTTGAGTGTGTATGTCACTGTATAAATAAAATATGATTGGTCGCACGAATTCATCGTCGGCGCGTGAGTCGCCGTCAGGGCGGTATGTGTGTCGTGGCCGAATGACACAGATCCCTCTGCCACGAGCCATCTTTGACAAATAAAACCAGTCCTTTTTCTTGTCTAATTCCATTCTATAGCTATCACAGGAACTGCACATCGCTAGCTTATCGTAAATAAAAAAGTTTCGAAGCAAACCAGAAACATGACTAAGCAATTCTTGCCTAATACTTGTTTACCTATTGAAATAATAACAGGATTTTACACATAGAATTAATAAACTGACTAAAAAAATGTTTTAATGTGTTTTTATTTTCAATAAAATGCACAAGTTTAAAAAAAAAGATTGAATAATAATCAATTAGTACCTAAATCTTTCCAAAACAGCAACTTCTAGGGAGTTGTTCGTTCCGATTTCGAAAATTTGCCGAATTATAAAATTATTATTCATTTCCGGAGTTAATTTCATTTCATTGGAAACGAAAGGGTAACGTAGTGATGTGCAGTGAATCGAAAAGTCCCTCAAGAAGAAAGTGTCAGTGTCAGATTTCTAGGTCATGTGTGAATAACATGTCATTGAACTCACTTCGTATACAGGCTAGTGTCAGGTGTATATTGACTTATTAAATTTCCATTAAATTAGCATTCTTTAGTTTCAAAAGTGAAGCTGTAGGTTTGCTTGGTCCTATGAAGACATGTTATTTGGCATATTTAATATTTAATGCAGACTTATCGATTTAATATGCTTAATGCATACAGGTTGCATCACAGTTTTTCTTTTCAAAATGTATTTATTCAAGCCACGGTGCTTCCTTTGATGCAATATTAGCTCTCCTGGGATCGATTACTTTATTATAATATCCACTGAAAGTCTCAGTGGACACAAGGAATAGATCAAAAGTGAAATTTGAATAAAGAAAAAGCAGCGAAAGTGTTCATTGGTCTCTTGAGTCTATTGTAATGGACAACACGTTCTTGAACGACATTTTGAAGCTCAATTTCCGAGTAGTAACAATCATGGTCATGGTATTATTGTTTACCCAAAGAAGTGTAAGTAAGAGAGATATCGAAAGCTTGAAACACTTACCGTGCATGCTTTCAATAGTTTCTCTGTTTATTTTGGCACGTTATCAAATCTTAGTCATGCATTTTAATATTTACTAGACATACCACTTTCTACTACAATGTCAACTACTAGTAGGAGATCCCGCCTTGAACGACCTTCACCGAGATGCTTATTTGATGAAACTTATTTTATATTCAATTTAATATGTCAATAATTATATTCCGTATGGGTTGCCTAATAAATTTCAGTCCAGAACATGACTAATTATTAATTTAAAAAATATATTTTTTCAAATGTTTCACCGGTTTGACTATTAAACAAATTCCATTTCAATCGAAAGTATGAAGCCCATAGAATATGGAAACGTTAGGTTGCCTATTGTATTCCAGTCATAACTCTCGGGTTGCCAGGTCTAAACAGGTAAATTTATAGTAGGATTTTGCAACGGTCTGATAATTTAATCAAATTTAATTAAAAATAAAGATTATTTAATTATGAACACGGTAAAATAGGGTTGCCTGCGAAAAATCAGTCCTGAATTAGGGTTGTCGAATTTTAAAAAGTGAAATATTGCCGCGAGTGAATAGGTAAGACTGAGAGGTCCCAAGCAACCGTTCCGTGCGTTAGAAGAGGACAGAGCATAACAGCTGCTTTTTAATGCTGCTGCTGCTATTTTTGTGTCATTAACAGAAGCTGCTGATATTTTCATTGAAGATAAAATAAAAATAGTTCAAGAATTTATAGCTTGTATGTATAGGATTAAGAATTGCACTAATGTGAATAATGCAAGATATCGCATTATTATGAAAAATTACTCTGCTAAAGAAGACAGTGAGCAGTTTCTAAAAAAAACAAAAGGCTTTGACTCTAACTCCATACCTCCGTGCTGGATATCATTACCACAAAAAGTTTTACAAACTATTTAAGTAAATTCGATGTGGCTGAATGCAACAGATCCAATATGTATCAAACTTAAACCTGAGAGCTGTGGTTGGTACTTAGATGAATATTTAAAACCACGAGGATTCATTGGGGATCATACACCTTTAAGAATAGATGATATTGTCGAAAGAAGCGAAACAGAGAGAGATGACGAAGAAGGTGCAGGTGTCGAAGATCTAAGCTTTATTTCCGATGACTCAGGAGCTGAATAATAAAAAAATATATTTCTTTATATAAACAGTGATTTTTTTAATTGCTTTTCATTTTTTTTAATAAAAATTTTTTGGGTACTTCATCGTCGTCTCGACGCCGATGGTAACCCCTCGTGCCGTTATTTGAGACCCACCCGGAGGTGTTTTTTTTAGAAACTGCTCACTGTCTTCTTTAGCAGAGTAATTTTTCATAATAATGCGATATCTTGCATTATTCACATTAGTGCAATTCTTAATCCCATATGTACATACAAGCTATAAATTCTTGAACTATTTTTATTTTATCTTCAATGAAAATATCAGCAGCTTCTGTTAATGACACAAAAATAGCAGTAGCAGCATTAAAAAGCAGCTGTTATGCTCTGTCCTCTTCTAACGCACGGAACGGTTGCTTGGGACCTCTCAGTCTTACCTATTCACTCGCGGCAATATTTCACTTTTTAAAATTCGACAACCCTAATTCAGGACTGATTTTTCGCAGGCAACCCTATTTTACCGTGTTCATAATTAAATAATCTTTATTTTTAATTAAATTTGATTAAATTATCAGACCGTTGCAAAATCCTACTATAAATTTACCTGTTTAGACCTGGCAACCCGAGAGTTATGACTGGAATACAATAGGCAACCTAACGTTTCCATATTCTATGGGCTTCATACTTTCGATTGAAATGGAATTTGTTTAATAGTCAAACCGGTGAAACATTTGAAAAAATATATTTTTTAAATTAATAATTAGTCATGTTCTGGACTGAAATTTATTAGGCAACCCATACGGAATATAATTATTGACATATTAAATTGAATATAAAATAAGTTTCATCAAATAAGCATCTCGGTGAAGGTCGTTCAAGGCGGGATCTTAGACTATACCTACCTACCTACCTACATGTGAACGCCTCAGTCATGTCGCTGCAGTGTTAAACATAATGTGGATACAGGATTGTTATGTTAGTTTGCAATATGGCACGTATGATAGTTTTCGTTCGATACTGCATAGGCATGTAAATAACCAAATGGAATTGGTTTTTTTTACAAACATATTATGTTTTTGGGGCAACGACTTTATGATTGTCTTTAAAAATCAAAATAATGTTCAAGAAATCTGATAGGTTTATGGATTATATTTTGAAGACTGTGCAAATTCAGTGTGAAATCTAAATGTGGGGCTGCTTACAGCAACAGCTTAAAGCTGAGCAGAATGGCTTTAAAGCGAAGTTGATTAAAGAAAAGCAGTCATCGTTTTATAATATCAGTTTACATGAAAGTCTTCCAACTTCCTTTTGCGGATAGTCGTCAAGATATAGAATATAATGTCGGTCAGCAACCTTCAACTAATGATACGTTAATGCGCCTAGACGGCGAATGGGTGCCGTGGGTAACAGTAAATAAAGATAAACTTCACCCACTGTTTTATACTTTTTTTACCTATCTCCTGAGCGCTTGTTCGCTCTAAATGCATAGGCAATGAGTCAGTCAGTCAACCATGCACTGTATGACTTACGATAGGCAGCTTTATAATTTTATTACTAGTTTATGTTTTGCCTGTTATTAATTAACTTAAAAATATTATGCTCATTTATCACACTAACTTCTTGTTATCCAATAATGGAGCTCAATAATTAAAACGCTGACTTTAATAATGTCAAATCCAATCGTTTATTTTAAATTAATATAGACATTTAAAATATTGTTGTTATTTCATAAATTCTGATATACCTACCTACCTATAAAGTTTTAAATGCACATAGTTTCAAAGTAAAACACAATGTTCCTTAATATCTCGCTTAAAAAAACGAGGGCACAAAATAAGTCAACAACAGTAGTACACGCTGATAAGAAATAATCCATAGAATATTTATACGTCCAATAAAAGGGCATTTTTTACTTAATAATCTAATAAATTGTCATTAAAACTTGTTGTATTAACCACAAAAAAATAATAAATTATTGAGTAAAATAATAACTTACCAAATTAATATAAATAGATAAACTTTTTGAACACATTTTATAAATTAAACTGTGATTAAAATCTATAAATAATAACAATAAAATTTGTGCGGCACACTTTTATACGCGAATTATCGTCCGAATGTGAAGATGATACATTCGCGTGAGAGAAGGGCGTGCGGTCGACGCACTGCCCGCGCAGACAACAAGTGGTGTTCATTATAACGGGAGTTACGCCGGGAGTCCTCAGAGCGGGTACGGGCGCCTACTTTGCCTTCCATAGCGGTAGCTCTCTCTATGGCCGATTGACATTAGCGCCATCTGTTTTACGCGATACGAGTTTATTTGCCGAATCATCTTTGCCGGTTTTACAAAACAACGCATGACAGTTCGTCTTGTGATACGGAACAACACTAACTCTAAACATGGCCGCATGGCTCCCTGACAGCGGCCGATTTGATAACTTTACACAAAATAGTTTTATGAACTTTACTTCTGGACAATTTACAGACAATATTAATTCCGGTTTAAAATATCATGATTTGGACGCAAAGTTTAATAGTTTTCAAGTGCATAATTACGACAAAAAAGCTTCTGGAAGCACAGTGACGTCGGAAAGTGAAATAAATTCCAAGGACAACAGTGCAGAAAATACAATAGAATTCCCATCGTAAGTAACATTTTGTACATAAATATCTTTCCTTTACTTAGAATACATGAATATCCTTTATTGCGTATTTAGCCGCTTTTTACTTCTCGCCTTCAATTTGATCCAATCAGCTGTTTGTCAATAGTGTTCCATCTCTCTCGCACTTACGGGATTGTATATAAGTGGTCTTTTAGACGATGTATCGTTTTTGGGCATTCTATTTTGGTACATTACTTACCATCACGATGTGATGCGAATATCCTAATTT